GGTTCAATCCCCGGCTGCTCCCCGGCCATCGGAGGAGGGTCCCACATGGCGTGCAGACCTCTCCTGCCGCCCGCTGCTCCCCTCAGCAGTGTGCTTTGGTCCTTCTGCCTGCTCTGCTCCCTGCTCTGGCTCTGGTGAATTCTCTCACCCTCCCTCGCTTCTGACTGTACCCAGTGTTTGTATCAATAATAAATAAATAAATCTTTAAAAAAAAATAAAAATAGGGCCTCCCCAGTGGCGCAGTGGTTGAGCGCTGGGTTGTGAATCTGCCCGCAGCCTCTGCAGCGCAGGTTCGATCCCCGGCTGCTCCCCGGCCACCCAGAGGAGGGTCCCACATGGCGCGCAGACCTCTCCTGCCGCCCGCTGCTCCCCTCAGCAGTGTACTTCGGTCCTTCTGCCTGCTCTGCTCCCCGCTCTGGCTCTGGTGAATTCTCTCACCCTCCTGCGCTTCTGACTATACCCAGTGCTTGTATAAATAAATAAATAAATCTTAAAAAAAAAAAAACAAACAGGTTACTTTAAAAAAAAAAAATAAAAAAAAAAAAAAAATAAAAATAAAAAAAGTCCAGTCCACTAAAAAACAATAATTCCATTTGCCATCGCTTCACATTGCTTTTCAAAAAATTGTTGAGTGCTGAAATGCACTGAAAATGCACTAAACCTGTGCTTGTTTTATAGTTTTAATGTAGTTTTATGGAATTTGGTGGTGAAACTAAGATTTCAAAGTCTCACTGATCTATTGAATGAAGTATTACCTTGACATTTGAAAACAAAACAAGTTATAACCTTTAAAAAGGGTGCTTACATTGGTACAATACACGTGTTTCAATTTTATTTACTAATGAAAACTTGGATTAGTTTTGAACTTTGATGCAAAAAAAAAAAGAAAAGATTATAGGTACTCCTGACCCCACTGTAGAGTTGGTCTTGATGTGAAAAGAATATTAATTGTGAAGTTTGAAAAATAGGAGTACTCGTTTTGTGATGGCACTGAAATTTGGGGCATTTGAAAGATTCTGGCAAATCAACTAGAACAGTTGTAGTCTCTTGAGTATCTTTTTCAGGGACTTCAAAAAGATATGAGGGCCTCCCTGGTGGCACAAGGGGTTAAGATGCAACCTATGAAGCTATCAGCAACCTTTGCAGCATGAGTTCGATCCCCAGCCAGCCAGGGAACAGCCTACATGGTGCAGCAGACCTCTCCTGACTCTCCCGCTGCTCCCCTCAGCAGTGTACTTAGCTCAATCTGCCTGTTCTTTTCCCCACTCTGTCTCTGGTGAATCCTCTCACTCCACCCCCCGCACCTCTGGCCTATACCCCAGCTCTTGTATGCATAAATAAATAAATCTTTATAAAAAAAGATATAAGAATAGGAACTCATGATTCTTTATATCATGCTTTAAAAACACAGACCAACTTTTTGTACCTTGGAAGTCTGCATGCTGTTCTCTACACGTAATCATGTGAGCCTCACAGATCTGAGAATGAGGTAGATAAGGACATAGATAGTCAAATTATGTATCTCCACATATTTGTGTGTCTTATAAATGAAGAAACTGGTTAAGTTACTTTCCCTGGATCACACAGCTTCTAAAGAGTCCCCCGCCCCCAGATCTGACTCAGAGCTGATATTTTTTTTGTTCACTTCCACCAACATTTTTCCTTTACTATGAGCCAACCACTGTGTTAGGACTGCTCATCAACCCAAAGGAAGTTAGAGTGTAACCAAAGATATAATTTTAATACAGTGATGAGTATTTACATAGAATACTCTGTATTGTACCAATGTAATGGAACACTTTTAGCTTAGACTGAGAGTTTAGGAAAGACTTCTCAGAGAGAGCCACACTTGAAAGATGAGTAAGTAGTGTAATAAGAGGTGTATCCAGCATTTTTTGGAAGCCTCCCACAGAAATTATCTACTTTATGTGATGTCACCTTGTAATGATCAATGCCTAGATATATTTAAGGGTTGCAATATATCGTGGAACATGTAGTCAGATTATTTCATAAAGGTGTCTTGATTAAATTTTCCCTTCTCCCCTGATCTCACCACCACTGCTAGGAATGATGGGCAAAATTTCCATGGTACAGAGTCACTTCTCTTTCTGCCAAGCCCTCTAGAAAGTAAAAAAGTTCTCAGGGCCACTTTAATGGACTTCTTGGACCAGGTCACTTTAAGAAGAGGATTAAGTACCCTCAGGGGGAGCATCTGGGAAATTTTAAACTGCCTCTAAACTTTGGCTTTGGAAGATAGCTGTGGACAACCCTCTTTCTGGGCAAATCCTGTTTCTTCTATCCTTAGCTGGGCTGATCTATCTACCTTCTCTTCAACGATGGGTCAGCCAGATGTTCTTCTGTTCTTCTGTCTTCCTTTTCACCTATCCTCCTGAGTGATTTCCAATTCCCTTCTTACCCTTTCCTGCTTGCCTGGTCCTTTTCCAGCCACCTGAACTGCCATGACCTCAAATCTCAAGCTCTGATCTGCTTAATCTGGACAGTGAATGCACAGCCTTCTAGGTAATAGACATGGACAGCCTGTCCAGTAACCCCAATTTGGATTAGAGCACTGTAGTGCTTGACAGCAGTGACTCACCCCACCTTCCCTCCAACTTACATGTATATGTTGGGACATGCCAAGATATCATGGGAAAGGGCAAAGCTAAGACTACAAAGGGAAAAAAAAAGGAGGAAAGTCTAGAGGGGAAAAAAATGTCTAGAGGGGAGAGTAGACCTCAAAAGCTATTTCATTCAGTAAATAAATATTTGAGTGCCATCTGTGTGTCAGGCATTGTTCTGGTTAATGAGATGAATAATGAGAACATTTCGTATTTCAAATAACCATTGAAGATTTACTTATTTATGCATACAAGAGCTGGGGCACAGGCCAGAGATGCAGGGAGGTGTCTCTTACCAGAGACAGAGTGGGGAACAGAACAGGCAGACTGACTGAAATACACTGCTGAGGGGAGTAGTAGTCAAGTCAGGAGAGGTCAGTTTTGCCATGTGGGTTGCCCACTGGCTGGCTGGGGATCCAACTGGAGTTGCAGAAGTTGCGGTTTGCTTCATGGTGCAGTGCTTAACCCCTTGCGCCATCAGGGAGGCCCCTGATATGAAACATTTTTATAACATGTTTTTATTCTTCTTTAATAACACATTTAATAACTATGTGATTTATCACATAGTTTTATGCTAGAAAAAGACTTTTTAAATATTTTATTTTTATATAATTCTTACATCATTTTTCATCTTTGTACAATGTATGCATTTTCATTTTGGTTATATTCCCCATACAATTGCACCACCCCCCTCCGTTATTTTGACTCTAGTCCTTCCTCTCCCTGCCCCTCCCTAATCCCCCCACTCCATAGTGTGTCTCTGGTTTATAGTTGCTTATTGATTTTGATTATTATTTTGCATTGATTAGTCTTTTTTCCTGGTCTCTTATTTAGGTTTTCTGAATTCCTGCTATGAGTGAGACCATCCGGTATTTTTCTTTTTCTTTCTGACTTATTTTGCTGAGCATGATCCCTTCTAGCTAGGAAAAGATGTTTTTGTGACTAAACTCTAAGTATTATCCTAAGTAGCTTCCGGGTTTATTGTACATAAGTTCTATTTATAGATTGAAGTTGAATTATAGCTATTGACACGTAAAATTAGGGATTTTCAGGCAATGTGAGGTCTAATATAGGATCTTACATGTATCTACTGTATTAAAATAGAAGAAATAATTTCCTATGCTTCGTAAATGCACTCATATTCTTAAAGCAAGACTGTCAAGAAGATGGTGACATTTGGTAAATATTGCTTTCAGTTTGTGGAGAGATTATTGGGTATTTTCTGAGCCTTTACCCTTAATATGATCTGATCATTTGGAAGCACTGGTCAGGGATGGATGGCAAAGTAAAAAGCTCTTAAAGGCTAAGCAGGTAAATGTATTGAGGTAGAGGTAAGGCAGTGAACATAAGAAAGAAAGATTTAAAATAATATTATCAGATACTGTAATGACGAAATTATAATGACAACAATGTTGTGTTGGCCAAACAAGCATTTAGCTGTTGCTTTCTACTTCTGGGCATTAGTTATCTTGGGAATTACAATAGGTTACTCTCTAAGGGAGAATTGATTGAGAGAACTGATATCCTTGTATATACAATAAGGCAACAGAAAATGGTGCTATTTCCAGGGATTCATCTAACTGTAGTAAATACTAAGTGTATGAAAATATGATTTTATCCTTTTCTTCAGAATTAGGAAATGCCAATGTCACATTCAACATTTATTCCAAAAAATTAAAATAAATATGAATTTATATATGTTTTGAGTGGCAAAAATAAAACAATGTAGCAACATAACAGAAAACTCAGTGTGTTAATTTCTCATATAATCTTAAGAGATTAATTTAATTTCTCATAAAATCTTCAATATCTGTAGTGTTAAAGATAGAATCTGCAGCAAATCAAATCAATGCTCTGCAAATTTTGTGAATAACTAGAACATCTGTGAGTTATTGCTGATTGTAGATAACATAAGGTATACTACTGGGAAAATCTTAGTGGAGTGTACTTGAAACATAATTGTTTGGTGATACAGAATTTGGCTCAGAATTAGACATGAATCGGAGTCAGATATGGTGAGGGATGAAACTGAAAAGCTCACTGTGACAACTGAAAAAGACGGGCAGATTCACTCCTCTAAGGAAGAGAATTGTTTCCTGATTAGAGGGGTTTTCTTATTTAATTAGTATTTTTTCCTTTATCACTTATACATGTTATGTATGTACTCACAATCAACTTCAGGTACTTAATGGGCCAAACTATTTTTTATTTTTCTGTAAGACTATCAGACTTTTGCCAAGAGAGAAGAATGTGTGTTACCCCTCAAAATAATCAGTAAAAAAATATTGAACATATACTCAATCTTGAAATATGTACTCGATGTATGTAAGTACTAACAGTACTGAATTGAATTGTTTTGACTTTTTCATAATCCTATTCCAGGGTCTAATGGCTATTGACTGCCCATATACTGGCATTGTGGACTATCAGCAGGTGGCTTTGTCATTTGCCCAGGACTTCCAAGAAGCAGGTGGCTCTGTCTTGACCAATTTTGAAGTAAAAGGAATTGAAATGGCCAAAGAAAGTCCTTCAAGAAGTGAAGATGGTAAGCCATCCTAGTTTTTCTTTTGAATACTTGTATTGCTTTCTACGGAAACTTGGAACTGTTTTGTGTGGGATAGAGCTGGTAGATGCCACCAGGAGTGAGTTTAGAGTAGGGCATAGAAATGGAAGCAGGTGCAGAAGGAACAAGGAATTGATTGTACCTGGGAGAACTAAGACTTCTGGAGGGTTTTTAACAGATAGAACTGGTTCCTGATGGGATACTTCTGGCTGGTCCTAAAGACCTGAACTGCCAAGACTGTTTATGGAAAAATTAACCCCCAAATACTTCCTTATGTTGCAGGTTAGAGTCAGAATCCCTTGGCAAGTCTTATTAAAAATGCAAGCACCGGGCCTCCCCTGGTGGTGCAGCAGTTAAGCGCTGGGTTGCGAGGTTGCCCGCAGCCTCTGCAGCGCCAGTTCAATCCCTGGCCACCGGCGAGGGTCCCACAAAAAAACAAAACAAAACAAAACAAAAAAATGCAAGCACCACTCAATTTTAGTGAATAGGGCATAACTTGACCATTCTGAGCATCAACCCCTCACTCCCCAACTCCCAACCCATTCCACACACACACACACACACACACACACACACACATTATAGATGACACTTAAAATTTGGTTTGTTTTGCTTTGGCATCTTTTTAAAAAACCAAATGAATGACTTGTAAGCTTTCTATTTGCTGTTGGAATATTTGAAGGAGAAAGAGTTGTGCTCAAGTTTTTAAGATCTGGGCCATCTGAGTCATTCTCCCAGTGCCCTTTAAATTCTAAAATAATGAGCAAAAATGCTAAGTAGTTAAGATAGTGATAGGTAGGTAGCATAATATAAATCAACTTTATGATATAGGTAGTTGTATTCTTCACTTGCTGTACATATAGTTGATAAGACTTTGAGATCCCATGTGTCTGCTTGGGAACTAATTTTATAAACTGCTGGTTTATTATTGGAAGTTTTTGTGTTGTGGTAACTTTTGCTTCCCACACACCTAAGATTTCACGTGGACTCAGGTAACCAACACTGGACAAGAAGGTTTCTCACATCATTGCATTAGTCCTGTGGAAAGATAACATACTAATTTATGAGGATACATTTTGTATCATGGTTTTCAGGATTGTAGTTCAGAGAAAAATTGAGACTTCCTATGTAGGAGCTGAGGTGGAGAATGGTTTATAAGTATAGATTAAGTGAATTATGAGAAAATCAGCTAAAAATAATTTTCAAGTATGAGCTAGTTTAATCTTGCTACATGGTAAAAAGTTTCAAATGAAAATTGGGGTGCAATTATGATTATGACCGAAGAAAATCTTTAATTTAATGAGTATAACATTTAAAATAATGTAGACCTTATTTTATTACTAAAATATATCTTTAATTATTTTTTTTCCAGGCATGAAATATCCAATTGTTATAAGGAATACAAAGGTAAAGATTCTTAAGCAAAAATTGTCTAATTTCATCCCCTCTCCTTTCTTAAAAAGTTGAGTTAACCATACTGCTCTGTTTTATGTCATTGAATGAAATTTGGCTAACATAAAAGTTATTCTGAGAGAAATTCTTTGAGAGCATCACAATAGCTTTCATTCTAAGAAGGGTTTCAATTTGAAAGTGTCTTCATAAAGTGATTTGCCAGTGAAGGGTAGGATTATAACCACTTAGAGTGCTTAACTTTAAGGCAAAACTGATAGATATTTTATTGTTCTGCCTACTTATCTGCATAGACTGCTAACTTTCTACCAATTAGTAAAACTTAGGGAAAGGGCAGATTATGCAGAGGAAATGGAATGCCTTCCTTCAACTTCACGTAGTCTAAAATAAGAACTGTGAAATAACATAGAAGCATTGTATTCACTGTATGTTCACTGAATCAACTGAGTTCAATCATGGGAGCAGAGTATTAATGAGTGTTGTAGGATTTGTAATAGCAATTAGGTCTTACATAATTGGAGAAACAAAGGTTCAGAAGGGGAGTTGTTAACATCACCAAATAATCTGAGAAGCCACATGTGTCCAGCTGCTGAAGTGGGCTACAAACAAGAGGTTCATAAAGGGAGTACTTGCTTCTGTCTATACCCAGGTAGTAAGCTGCAGTAGCTTTTGATTAGTAAGATCAGAAATTGGAAAGCAGTGCTGGATATAGAGCTGTAATTCACTTGGTAGTGGGTGTTTATCACCACATTGGACTGGAATGACCTTTAAAGAATAGTGTCTGCTGCTTCACTTCCTGCCAACTTGTATGCAGTTCCTGTTTTGGTCAACTTTAAGTTGGAACTATACAGGGAAGGAGATTTTGTCAAGCCTAATTCTCAGCTTAACCAAATAGACACAGTAAAAACCCTTGTAGTCCACGCCTTTTCAGTTTGGCATCTTTTTAATATCCTTCTTAACAACACTTATCCAATAAAGACAATAGTAAAATTATGCTCCTACCTACAAGATGCAGCTATCCCCTCATACAACTGAAGACTTAGGAACTCTACAAAAAATATATTGGAAATCCACTTTACCCATCTTTGCATGATATTTCTTTTCTGAGTTATACCTTCCCTTTAAGATCAAAGATATAAGACTAACCAGTATTTAAGTAGTTCTCAACCAGAGGCAATTTTGGAGACATTTGGCAGTATCTGAACACATTTTTGGTTGTTATAACTGGTAGAGGGAGACGTGCTACTGACATTTAGAGGGGGAACACCAGGAATGCTGTTAAACATCCTACAAAAAGGTGGACAGGCTCCGGCAAAAGTTTATCTGTTCCAAGTGGTATTGAAGTTTATCTGTATTGAAGTTTATGTGTTCCAAGTGGTATTGAAGTTGAGAAGCCCTATGTTAGGTAATGGAAAACCGGTAGAGATGAGTGTATTAGTCTTCTCAGACTACCTTAACAGAATACCACCAACCAGATGAAAAACAGCAGAAAATTATTTATTTACCGTTCTGGAGGCTAGAAGTCAGAGACCAGGTGCCAACAGGGTTGGTTTCTGGTGAGACTTTTCTTTGTAGATGGCTGCTTTCTTGCATGTTCTCATTTCTGCATGTACATGTGCAGAGAGAGAAAAAGCAATCACCGGTGTCTCTCTTACTCTTTTTTATAAGATGATCAGTCCTATCAGATCAGGGCCCCACTATTCTGATCTCATTTAACCTTAATTACCTTCCTAATTCCTGTATCTTCAAATATAGTTATATTTGGAGTTAAAGCTTCAACACATGAACTGGGGAGAATGGGAGCACAATTTAGTCTGTAACAATGGGGATAAAGAAATAGGTAATATATGGACTATTTATTTCAACAGTGAATAAGGCATTCTGTACGTTCACACGTGGTGGTTTTAGCAGGAGTGTTTTGGGCAGGAAAGAAAAATCTATATCCAGAGCAGTTGTCTGTTTCAACGCTGACTAACTGCTGTCTTTTCTATGATTAAAGTGGTCAGAAACCATATCAGTGACTCTGTTGGTCTCTGCTATGGGCAGCTTGAGCAATCAGCAGAGGCTATAAGGGAGATCAACTGTGATGAATAAGTCCATATTGCTGAACTCATTTATTACCTGCATTCTTGCTGCCATAAACATTCAGTTCATGAAGCCATTGAGTAAGGTTGGGGTTCTGGAAGAAAGAGGCTAACTAATATCCACAGAGCAGGTCATCTTGTCTATGAATTATTAAAATTGTCCTCTGCTGAGGTTAGTCATTGAGCATACATTTAGAACCCAGTATCTTTGCTCTATGAATCTGTGTGCACAAGTTCAATCATATACCTTTACTCCACAGTTCCATTTCCTGACTATCAAGCCAAGCCATTAATCATAGCACATGAAGCATGTAGCTCCATACTTCTGGCCTCTTTCCTTTTGGGTAAGGTAAACATCTAGGCATGACATTCAAAGTTCTTCCCTCTGGAAAGATTTATCTTCACTACAGTCCTTCAGGGTCACTCCTTTGTGGGTTCCGGTGCTATAACTTCACTTTCAAGTACACTAGAGTAGATAGAATAGATAGCTTTTCATGGGGCCATAGGAGCAGGTTGAGGTGGAGTGGGTAATTTAGCAGGAGTAGGAATAATGGGAATTTGAACTACTTGCCTTCTACAATTTATGTGTGACAGCAGAACCTGTACGACCCTGATTTTGTATATTCTACTTCCTCTTGATAACTGAGTGCTGCGCTGCACACCCAATTTTGTGGCTTGGTGAGTCAGACAATCCTCACTTAATAGTGGGTAGTTCACATGGTAACTTGGTGACCTATGGTCAAGTATTGAGTCAAAGCCAGAAGCACTTTCTCAAAAGTATAACTTCCCCCCAGAATCCTAAAATTCTGTGCTGTAATTCACCTATAGGAATCTGCCTACCAAAATCTCCATAAAACATCACTATCTGGGCCTCCCCTGGTGGCGCAGCAGTTGAGCGCTGGACTGTGAAGCTGCCCGCAGCCTCTGCAGTGCCAGTTAGATCCCTGGCCGCCAGCGAGGGTCCCACATGGGCCATAGACCTCTCCCGTCGCTCCCGCTGCTCCCCTTAGTAGTGTATTTCTCGTCACCCTCCCATGCTTCTGACTGTACCCAGTGCTTGTATAAATAAATATAAAATAAATCTTTAAAAAAAAATCACTATCTGGGGCCTCCCTGGGTGGTGCAGAGGTTTGAGCATAGCGCTGTGAAACTGCAGCCTTTGCAGTGTGGGTTCCATTCCCAGCCAGCCAGGGAGATACCCACATAGTACAACAGACCTCTCCCATCTCGCCCGCTGCTCCCCTCAGTAGTGTTTTTGGTCTTCTGCCTGTTCTGCACCCCCTGCTCGCCCCCATCTCTGGTGAATCCTCTCACCCTCCTGTGCCTCTGGCCTGTACTCCAGTTCTTGTGTAAAATAAATCTTAAAATAAATAAATAAATAAGGCTTTAAAAAAAAACCCGTCACTATCTGCCATAGACATTTTGGTTACCATCAGATATACTGGGCCTAATTGACAGAGCAAGCAGGTTTCCTTTCAAAGAAGGATTAAATAGCTATTTCTTCCCCTGCCTTCATCTAAGGGACATTTTCTCTGGAGTATGGCATCATGTGATGGAAGATACCAATGGGATATATTGGTCACCCACAGTTGTTGTATTTGTTGCCTTTCACTTGACATTTTCCTTTAATATAACTAAACAATGTAATTTAAAATCATATTATCTTAAATAACGTAATTTAAAGTTTGGGGTCAGCTTATCAAGTTTATGTTTTTATTAGATTAAAAGAAAAGTAGGATGCATACATAGGTAGAATAAGGCTGCAAAGAGGGGCTGCAAACTCAGAACCTTGAAATAGATGAGAACCCTGCAGCTTCAGAAACAGGTCAGGGAGGAGGGAGATTTAGGAACAAGAAATTACCTGGAGCTAGGATTGCTAGTGGTTTGTGATACAAAAAGCAGAGATGGGGATTAGAGTGCAGTGGTGGGGCCTCCCCAGTGGCGCAGCGGTTGAGCGCTGGGTTGCGAAGCTGCCCGCACCCTCTGCAATGCCGGTTTGATCCCCGGCCACAGGCGAGGGTCCTACATGGCGCACAGACCTCTCCTGCCGCCCGCTGCTCCCCTCAGCAGTGTACTTCGGTCCTTCTGCCTGCTCTGCTCCCTGCTCTGGCTCTGGTGAATTCTCTCGCCCTCCCGTGCTTCTGACTGTACCCAGTGCTTGTATGTATGTATGTATGTATGTATAAATAAATAAATAAATAAATAAATAAATAAATAAATAAATAAATCTTAAAGTGCAGTGGTGAACGGGAGTTATATGAAACCATCTAGGAAATCATGTGGCAAATTGGAGAGTTCTGCTAGTCAGGGTGAAGCTGAACATATGCAGATTTTAATCATAAAATAAAATGTATGGGAAAACGTAACAGCCTAAGATTTGTAATTTTCTGGACAATAGTGTGTGCTTTCAGTAAATGAGGTTTGAATGAATGGGGTTTCTAAATTAGCCTCAGTTTGCAAAAGTTTAGATATTGATCAGGAAGGAGGAATTGGTTGATAGGTGGGTTACAGTTGGAATTGAGTGAGATCATTGAGTGTGAAGCAACCTGAGATCAACAGGTGATAGAAAACTGTCTGAAATACAGAGGAAACAAAGTTGGTAGGAACCTTCTGAATGAGGCTTACTTCTTCATGCAACAAGTAGTTAAGAAGTTCCATGCTAGGTCTCAGTAAAATAACTATATTTGTGTTTGTGTTTGTGTGTGTGTGTGTGTGTGTGTAAAGTTTAAGTATTCTTGGGCCTCCCCGGTGGCGCAGCGGTAGAGCGCTGGGTTGTGAAGCTGCCCGCGGCCTCTGCGGTGCCGGTTCAATCCCCGGCTGCTCCCCGGCCACCGGAGGAGGGTCCCACATGGCGCGCAGACCTCTCCTGCTGCCCGCTGCTCCCCTCAGCAGTGTACTTCGGTCCTTCTGCCTGCTCTGTCCCTCGCTCTGGCTCTGGTGAATTCTCTCACCCTCCCGCACTTCTGACTATACCCAGTGCATGTATAAACAAAACAAACAAGCAAACAAATAAATAAAGAAAAACATGCCTCTATTAAAAAAAAAAAAAAAAGTTTAAGTATTCTTGCTAGGTCAACCGTTATGTCTCTAACTTAAATTACAAAATTTAAGGTGTCATATTCTTGTGTTCCACAACCCTGAATTTCTAGCTGCCATTTAGATACTAAGGAATTTATTTTGCTGATGCATGCATTAATTTCCTCTTTTAAAGAAAATAAAAAATTCACTTCTGTACCCTTATTGTCTTTTCTATCATCTGACTTGCCCTCAGTGACATATTCTTCTCTCCTTCATATATATCATTGGTTTCTGTTACTCTAGGGAGCTGAAGTTCGATGTCAGTATGTCGTGACATGTGCAGGACTTTACTCGGACCGTATTTCAGAATTGAGTGGCTGCAGTCCTGATCCTCGTATTGTACCATTCCGGGGAGATTATCTGCTCTTGAAGCCAGAAAAATGCTATCTTGTAAAAGGAAATATTTATCCGGTAGGTAACAATACCTTTGCCTTTTCACCCTTCTCTAGATAGTTGTGGATGGGGAGTGAAGGAAAATATTTTCCATGGGTCAGAATTAAGAGAGATTTTTTTTTTTTATTTTATAGAGGCATGGTTTTTATTTATTTTGTTTGTTTGTTTTTGTTTATACATGCACTGGGTACAGTCAGAAGCACGGGAGGGTGAGAAAATTCACCAGAGCCAGAGCGGGGAGCAGAGCAGGCAGAAGGACCGAAGTACACTGCTGAGGGGAGCAGCGGGCGGCAGGAGAGGTCTGCGCGCCATGTGGGACCCTTCTCCAGTGGCCGGGGAGCAGCCGGGGATCGAACTGGCGCCGCAGAGTCCGCGGGCAGCTTCACAACCCAGCGCTCAACCGCTGCGCCACCGGGGAGGCCCTAGAGAGATTTTGAGTATGTTTTTGTATAACCCTTTTTGCTATTTTTCTTGTGGTTAATTCCCTGAATCTTTATTCTGATATTAAGTCATTAAATTATAATTAACAGCCCACAAGTACATGTCTCCAGAAAGCATCAGTGCACCATGGGAGGGCCAAATCAAGAAAGAACCAGATTCTTCCTCCTTTTTGGTAAAGGGACCACTCATAGAGAACTTTCCCTGGTAGCATGCCCAGATATCGGCCCTCTTTCTCAGTTCACTATCTTTATGTGGAAAAAAAGGGGATGTGGCCACTTTGTAGTTTCATGGTATAGAAGACAGAGCCATTTAAATGAAGAGTTTATTCTTTTGTCTGGAACCTACTAGGTTAAACCAGATAAAACTACCAGTATCCAGCTATTTAATGTTTTTGACTTTGTCAAAACATCAGTGTCATCAGCTTCAACCTTTACAAAAAATCTGTGCTGATGATGTATATTTTTTCTGGTGACTCTGATTTTACTTGCCAACTATATACATTCCTAGTTGGGGGTGAGAGGAAAGTGGGGATAGGGTAGGGAATAATCTGAGCTAGAATAGTTCTTTCCTTTTTTTTCTTTCTCCAGAAAGAGGGAGAGGGGAGGCCATGTGCATTGTGCCTATAACAGCAGTGTTTCCTCATGTCATTTCTAGGTAGCGGTATAGAACAATTAAAAATTGAACTGATGGGCCTCCCTGGTGGTGCAGATGTTAAAATCTCAGTGCTATCAAGCTATCACCAGCCACTGAGGCATAAGTTTGATCCCCAGCCAGGGAGCTAATCCACATGGCACAGCAGACCTCTCCTGTCTCACCTGCTGCTTCCCTCAGCAGCGTATTTCAGTAGATCTGCCTGTTCTGCTCCCCATTCTGTCTCTGGTGAATCCTCTCACCCCTGTTACCTCTGGCCTACACCCCAGTTTTTGTATGCATACATAAATTTTTAAAAAATGTTACTTTCTAAAAAAAAAAAAAAAAAAAACCTCAACTGAGTACAGATCAAAAGTAATGCAAATTAAATCAATGAGGAGAAATTGTTTATATTACCAGTTGAATGTTTGCATGTATAATAAAGTGATATATAATAGGGCTAATAGTTTTTTACTGTATAAAATCCATAGGTCCCAGATACCCGGTTTCCTTTCCTAGGAATTCACTTCACACCCAGGATGGATGGCAGTATTTGGCTAGGGCCTAATGCAATTCTTGCCTTTAAACGGGAGGGCTACAAACCCTTTGACTTCAGTGCCAGAGATGTTATGGATATAATTATCAAGAGGTAATAACTTTTACTTGTTTAAAGGAAAAAATGATTTTATTTGCTTATATTTTTTTCATGGGAAATTGAATCTTTATTGATATTCTACTTACTGGGTAAATCCTTATATTTGTGATTGGTGTATTGATATTTTTATTAATATAAATTAAGAGCTTTGTAGAATAAACATAATGTTGTAACTACTTCAAGAAAATTCTTATAAACCAGGGTGATGTCGTGGTTAAAAAAGAACATGACCAAAAGCCAGCCATACATTTGATGATTCAAGTCTTGTTTTGGTAGCCTTCAGGTTGAGTTTAGGAAAAAAGCAGAAATTTCTCTCAAAATCAGTAGATGATACCTTGATGAGACCATTTCAAGCCAGTCACCATTATTTGGAAACTACTGGAGAAATCACTGATATCCAAAATTTTTTGTGGAAAACTAAATGATACTATTTTGAGGTGGGAAGTAAATTCTTTACTATATAAGAAATAAGTCAATGTGGTATTTCACTGGTCCTTTTAGAAGTGTTGCTTTCCAGAGGGTTTCACATCAAAACCACTAAAGCTTTTTAAGATCTGTTTGAGCTTTACCCACCACAGACTCTGAAATAGGTTTATGATGGAGCTTCCCAGCATGTGTGCTTATAAATAGATGTATTTATGTATAAATATATGTATTTATATATAAATACATAAATTTGTATTTTCACAAACATTTATAAACATATAAATATATGTTTTATATGTTTATATTTTATAAAATTCACATATTTATATTTTTATAAATATAAATTCATATTTATATTTCTATAAGATTTATATTTTTATTTATATTTTTATAAATATTTACATACACACATAGGCTTTTCAGTGTCTTACTTGAGAGTATGTTACCTTCAATTGACTTAATAAAAGTAGGGTAGATTTTCTACTTGTTTAATGATCTGACTTAAAGCTCTGTTAATGCCTTTTTGATGCATGTAATATTTGCATTAAAAAGCCTTGTTGTTAGCATATTTTATAAATTCACACTTTGGAAGAATATTCCCTAGAAATCTGAAGTTTTATTCTTATTTTGACCATGAGTTGATTTCCTTTTAATGCATAGTTTTTCTAACTTTGCCTAAATTTCTGGGATGCCACCAAACAAACAAAACCAATCTAATGGTTGTAAAGGTTTTTTGTAGTACTAAAGACTTCCTTTCTCTCATAAAGAATTTTTTTTCCCTTTACTTTCAGTGGCTGTACTAAATTGATATTCCAGAATTTCTCCTATGGAGTTAATGAAATGTATAAAGCCTGCTTTCTCAGTGAAACAGTGAAGCACCTACGAAAGTTTATTCCTGAAATCACTATCAGTGATATAGTTAGGTAAGGAAAAGCTATACTGATTGTAAATCCAGTCATGACCTAAAATTTGGGAGGTGGTACTGACCTGGTGATTCATAAGCACACTTTCTCAGTTGGTCAGTGAATCCACTGGAATCTGGGTGCTCTCTCTTTCCCAACAAGTTGCTGAGTTTGCTTTGTGATGCATGTATTGGAAATTAATGTATCCTGACCCATGGTATGGGAACTAAGTCCATTTATAATTATCTATACTACCTTAAAGCAAGAAACTGCAGCTCTATTGTGATACCACCTTTACCTTTGTGTCTAGCTATCTTGCTCATGATAAAAACATATTGCCTGAGATGTTTTAATTCTCCCTGGGCAATTACTCTTGTGATTCTAAAGCCTTTTTTTAAAAAACATTTATTTATTTATGCATATAAGAACTGGGGTACAGGCCAGAGGTGTGGGGGGGGGGGGTGAGAGGATTCACCAGAGACAGAGGGGAACAGAACAGGCAGATTGACTGAAATACTTGCTGAGGGGAGCAGTGGGTGAGCCAGGAGAGGTCTGCTGCGCCATGTGGGTAGCTCCCTGGCCGGGGATCGAACTCGTGCTGCAGTGGCTGCAGATAGCTTCATAGTGCTGCGTCTTTAACCCCTTGTGTCACCAGGGAGGCCCAATTCAAAAGCCTTTTGACTTTAATTTTGTGTAAGATTATTGCTTACCATGTTAAAAATAGGCAATAAACACATTAAAATATTATATTTTGATTTACTCTCAAAACCTTTTAGAAACACTATCCAGGGCCTTCCTGGTGGCCTAGGGGTTAATTATCAGTGCTACCACCACTACCACCTGAGTTTGATCCCTGGCCAGGGAGCTAACCCATATATGGTACAACAGATCTCACCTGTTCACCTGCTGTTCCCTCAGCAGTGTATTTCAGTAAATCTGCCTGTTCTGCTCCTCACTCTGTCAGGATGAATCCTCTTACCCCCTGCAGTTCTTCTATGCAAAAATAAATAAATAAATCTTTTTTAAAAAGAAAAGAAAGAAACACTGTCCAATACCTAGACTCTTACCTTACTTCTTCTCTACCTATTTCATTCTTTCTTGTCCTACACACTCAGGGACTCTACCTGAAGGACAGAGTGGGAATTGGCATGGTAATAATCAGTCTAAGCCCTTGCTTAGGTTTGGAGCAAAAGCAGAATAACATAATTTTTTTTTCTCCTACAATTAAAGACTTCTGGACTTGATATGTAGATTATCCTAAGTATCACACAAAACCATTTTTCTTTTCTCTTTGGTGATATTTTTAGGATGCTCACTTTGTTTTCCCCCTGAACAAGACATTTCTTGGGCCTGATTAGCAGTGTACTCTTAGGTATTCTCTCTCCATGTGTCCATCTTTCCATGAATCTCTAGGGACAAAGTGTCTCCTCAGTAACAGCTGCTGAGTTTGCCTGGTGTAAAATGTCAGTAGACTTGACTGCTGGAGGAAAGCAATAATCATGCCAGCTGTCTCCCTTAGGGGGCATCCTGGTCTGAATCTGACTCTAATGTGTCATTCCCAGGTCAACCTCTTCGAACCCTTAGAAGAACCATTCAACACAGCTAATGTTTCTCTTATCTCTCTCACCCCTCTGCTCGCCTTCTGAAATGGAAGGAATGAAAATACCCAGACATTTTTCTTTCACTTGCCTGAAAGGCTTTTACTTTTTAGGTGGTTTGCTTTATAAGCTTATTATGTTTTATAACTGAAAACAGATTGATTAAATCTGGTTTCTGTTACTGTTATTAATAGTCCTTGGAAAACACACTAGGGGGGCATGGTGAAGTCTGTGTATAAACAGTTGCAGTAAATTCACTATCCTGACATAATGACCAGCCTTTCATAAAAGCCAGAGGAAAACTCTTTAGACTTGTGGATTTCATATAGTATACCTGGACCTGGGCCTTGTGGGTTTTGGTCAACACTCTTGTCTCTGGGCATAAGGATGTGAAATTAGTTGCGAGTTTCACCAGTTGCCATAGAAAAGGGAACAAGGCATTGTAGGCAGGTGCACTTGGAAACAAATTCAACCCAATCACAGATGAGTTTCTCTTTGGAGATAAAGTTGAACACATTCAGCAATTCCATTCATTCCTTCCCTTGATTCCTATACCTATTAATTGCAGGAATTTTTTTTGTATTTAGCACCAAAAAGTAGTAGAAACAAAGTTGTTGATGATATGGTATATTAAGTTTAAATAGTGCCATATGTTGTTATGATTTGCACATGAAATGTGTACATGAAAAGAAGCATGGGAATGATAAACACCAAATTTAGAAGTTGGTTACTACTGGGGAGAGAAGGGAATGGGGTCCAGAAAGTTCCACAGGGGCTTCTATCACATCTGTACTACTTTATTTCTTAAACTGTTTGGTAAGAAAATGGGTGTTCACACAGACCAATGGAATCGAATAGAAAATCCAGAAATAAACCCACAGATTTATGGTCAACTAATCTTTGACAAAGGAGCAAAGACTATGCATTGGAGCAAAGAAAGTTTGTTCAATAAATGGTGTTGGGAAAACTGGGTCGCTACATGCAAAAGAATGAAGCTTGACTACTACCTAACACCGTGCACAAAAACCAACTCAAAATGGATTAAAGAACTAGACATAAGACCTGAAACCATAAAATGCATAGAAGGAAATATAGGCAAAACACTCCATGATATGCACATCAAAGACATCTTTACAGACATCACCCAAAGCAGTGATAGTGAAGGCAAAGATAAACAGCTGGGACTACATCAAATTAAAGAGCTTCTGCACAGCAAAAGAGACAATAACCAAAACAAAGAGAAACCCCACCGACTGGGAGAACATTTTTGCACACAACACTAATGATAAAGCACTGATCACAAAAATCTACAAAGAGCTGATGAGACTCAACAAAAACAAAGAAAATAATCCAGTCAAAAAATGGGCAGAAGAGCTAAAAAGAAACTTCTCTGAAGACGAAATGCAAATGGCCAACAGGAATATGAAAAAATGTTCAACATCACTTGTAATCAGGGAAATGCAAATCAAAACTATAATGAATTACCATCTTACACCAGTGAGAATGGCACATACTAAAAAAACTAGCAACAACAATTGTTGGCGAGGTTGTGGAGAAAAAGGAACTCTTCTGCACTGTTGGTGGGAGTGCAAACTGGTCCAGCCACTATGGAGAGCTGTGTGGAGATTTCTGGACCTACTAAACATAGAGCTTCCATATGATCCAGCAATTCCACTCCTAGGTATTTACCCAAAGGACACAGACACATCAATTCCAAAGAGCACCTGCACCCCTATGTTTATGGCAGCACTATTTACAATAGCTATGCTTTGGAAACAACCCAAATGCCCAAAAATAGATGACAGGATCAAGAAGATGTGGTACATATACACCATGGAATATTACTCAGCATTCAAAAAAGATAAACACATGCAATTTGCAGCAACATGGATGGAGCTGGAAGGGAAATGCTCAGCAAAATAAGCCAGAAAGAATAAGAAAAATACCGGATGATCTCACTCATAGCAGGAATCTAGAAAACTTAAATAAGGGACCAGGAAAAACAATAACTATAAGAAAGAAAATATCAAAATCAACAAACAACTATGAACCAGAGACACTCAATGGGGGTTGGGGGGCGGGGAAAGGATGGCTTGGGGTCAAAATAAGGGGTTATAATTGTATGGGGAATATAAAAATACAATTTAAATTAAAAAAAAAAGAAAATGGGGCCTCCCCGGTGGCGCAGCGGTTGAGCGCTGGGTTTCGAAGCTGCCCGCAGCCTCTGTGGCACTGGTTCCATCCCTGGCTGCTCCCCGGCCACCACCAGAGGAGGGTCCCACATGGCGCGCAGACCTCTCCTGCCGTCCGCTGCTCCCCTCAGCAGTGTACTTCGGTCCTTCTGCCTGCTCTGCTCCCCGCTCTGGCTCTGGTGAATTCTCTCACCCTCCCGTGCTTCTGACTGTACCCAGTGCATGTATAAACAAAAACAAACAAACAAAATAAATAAATAAATAAAGCATGCCTCTATTAAAAAAAAAAAAAAAACTTAAAAAAAAAAAAGAAAATGGGTGTTCATTATGTTATTCTCTCTACCTTGGCATATGTCTGAAATATTAAATAATAAAATAATATCAGTAGACTTTCCCATAGTTTGAAGCCCAAGTGTTGTCTGGTCTGCTTCATCTTATAATCCAGTGTAGTAAAACAACAAATACTCTATCATTAATACTAAAGCAGAGCATAGTAAGCAGTTCTAGATAGTAAAAGAAAACTGAAGCAACACTTTTAGTGGGATGTTTTTCCCAGGATGGTGATCTTAAATTGCAATAACCACCAGAAGGTCATGCACAACCAAACATTTTTTGATTGACTTTTTCTTTGCTTGACTTCCCATTGCCTAGCGAGAACATTTTGGGCAATACAGTACTAGTGAATGTTAGATTGAAATGTAAACTTATAATCTGTCAGATATATGCATTTAGTATTCAAACTTCTCATTGTTAAATGGTGACCTCTAAGATTCTTAATTTTATTATTTTTTTCACTTTACCTATTTTTTATTTTATATAGTTTTTTTTTTTTTTAAAGATTTATTTATTTATTTATACAAGCACTGGGTATAGTCAGAAGTGCGGGAGGGTGAGAGATTTCACCAGAGCCAGAGCAGGGAACAGAACAGGCAGACTGACGAAATACACTGCTGACGGGAGCAGTGGGCACTGCAGGAGAGATCTGTTGCAGTGGGACTCTTGCCAGTGGCCAGGGATCAAACCGGTGCTGCAGAGGCTGCGGGCAGCTTCGCAGCTCAGCATTCAACCACTGTGCCACCAGGAGAGGCCCTATATAAATTTTTAATTTTAGTTCTAAATCCTTTGATTTGTTCTGTAATTAATTTTTATTTGGTAAATAGCAATCTGTATCGTTAGTATTGTAAGGATATGAAAGATGAAGATATGTATGTCAAGATTCCTTCTTTTTCTAATAGTTCATTTTGAAAAATGCCTTATTTGAGGACTCTAGAGAATTTTTTAGACAATATGTTTTCATCATGAGTGAAAGCTAGAGACTGTGCTATGTCATTGTGAAATGCAAATGTTATGTTAAAGACAAACATTCCTGCAATAATGAGCATCTAGATCAGGATTTCTTACCCTTGGCACTACTGACATTTGGGGCCACTTAATTCTTAGTTGTGAGACACTGTCCAGGATTTTTAGCAGCATACCCAGCCTCTACTAGATGCCAGTGGTATTCCCCTAATTATGACAACCAAAAATGTCTCCAGACATTGCCAGATGTCCTTTAAGGGGCAAAATCTCCCTCGGTTGAGAATCAATAGTCTAGAGAATTCAGTAATTCTCACAGTAGTACAAAATACTAGGAGACTGGAGGAAATATAACTAAATCCTTTGAAATACATATTGCTGAGAATGTAAGACTATAAGGAGTATCCGGGGAGCAAAAGCAAAGAGGAAATTGAAAACCTAAGTCCTAAGAGGAGTTGGTGGTGATGCTGTCCTGGAGAGCAGTGAGAATTTGCTGACTTTTTTATAAATATAACTGAGTTTTATTTTTTTAATATGTAATTTACATACAATAAATATAAAGATCTTAGTGTCCAATAATTTTAGCAGTTGTATAAACTCATGTATCTATACAAAACAAGATATGCAATATTAAAGACTGTTTTAATTAAAAACTTTTTTTATTGAGGTAACCTTAGTTTACAAGGGAATAGGTTCAAACCTCTTCAAATGTATGTTTTCACACCATGCCTTCCGCTAATGCATTAGTAGTCCTCCACCATAGGGAACTATGAAATGAGGCGTTGGTTCTATAAAAGGTAGAAAGTTGGAACTGAGACCCCTGTGTAAGTCCAGGGACTCCTGAAGGGCTAAGAAAGTCTAGAAAAATATATTCCTATTGGCACTAGGAAGCATGAAGGAATTATGTCTGTCTTGGTCTTGAGGGTGGTGCTACTTTGGAAAAGAACAAGTATTTGTAACTCCCTTATCCATTGTGAGTTCATTTAATGAGCATTTATTGCACTGCTATGTTGAAGACATTATGCTCTAAACTAAGGATATAAGTCTGATAGACCACAGTTCACAGCCTTTAGTGCAACACAAACCTATTGTGCTGCCACATAATTGTGCGTTTAGAAAAATACTGCTTTGAAATGCTTTAAAACCACTGACTTGTAAAGTGTCCTCTCTCTTCCAGTAAGTTAATGACTATTTTGTTTTTGCAGAGGTCCTTCTGGTGTAAGAGCTCAAGCCCTGGATAGAAATGGAAACCTGGTAGAAGACTTTGTATTTGATGGAGGAGTTGGGGATATTGGAAATCGTATTCTTCATGTGAGAAATGCACCTTCCCCTGCTGCTACTTCTTCTCTTGCAATTTCTGGAATGATTGTAGATGAAGTGCAGCAAAGATTTAAATTATAAATCATGAAAGAAATTAGGTATGCATTTTTAATTTCTACTTTCAGCAACAAGAGTGTACTAATTGCATTCTTTATTTTAATATGAGAAATTGTTTGAAAACTTCATTTTTAGGTACATCATTTAGTTAATCACTGAATTGTTAAAATAATGTAATATAGAAATAATGACTTTTTAAAAGTTCATGCTCTTTTACTTTGTGAATGAAAAGTTATATTTGTCCTGAATCCCAACTTTGTTAGTAATCTATCTTTACCATCCATGGTCTAGAGATTGAATCTTAGAATTCCTGAGATCGATGGCATAAAAAAATTGATCTTTCTCTTAACTTTTTGGTTTTATAATATTTAAGTTTTTTGTTTTTCCTGGATAAGAAAATAGAACACTGTAGGTTGTAAATGACTTAATTTTGAAGAGTCATAGAAAAACTCGTATTACTTAGAGCAACAATATTTGTATTTGGGAATTTAAAATTTTGATTTAAAGAAAATACATGAAATTTCACATTTTTAAATATTATTAATAATATTTTATCTTAACTATAGTATTTGTAAGAAATAACTTTGCAAAAGAAACTCAAAGCCTTTTATTATTCCCAGTATTGTTATAAATTGACTTGGTGTGGTGTCATTGTTATGGGGAAAAGGATGTCCTAAAGCTAATTCCATACAGGCTTTGTAGACTCCACCCCCACTCCAGACCAAAGCCAAAAGACACTGGGAACTCCAAATCCCATCACCACCAAAAGGAAGGTTGCTGGAACCTGAGGGTGGGGTTAAACAGCCAGGTTTGGTATAAAAACCAGACACGTGGGCTTTGGGGGAATTCCCTTTTTGGCTCTCTGCCAGCTCGTAGCACGAGGCCAGCTCTGAGAGTGCCTTTGGGTTTCCAGGTTGGTGGGTCAGGTAGGACACATTAAAGACTTTATTTCCCTATTTTCTCCCTGAGTTGTACATTTCCTCAATTCCCTTTCCCTTGAAAGTAAACCTTTTATTAACCTTTTGTGTGTGCCTGTAGCGGAATATTAATAAGTCCCTTTTAAGCACACGGGTAAGGACCCACAGCCAGGCAACCCGTTTTATATCGGGGCTGCTCTGTAACAGTTTGGCGCCCAATGTGGTTTCCAAGCTACACCCGTGGTTGACCAGCCCAAAGTAATTTTCCTTGCGTCAGTCACCATAAAGCGCACTAGGTCTGCAGGACTCGCAGTGAAAATCTTTGTTTCACGTCTTGAAAAGTCTGTTTTTTTTTCCCGAGCGTATGGCTCTTGTGGGTGTGGTTTTGACCCAAATGTGGCCTCAAACAGCAACATACTATGAGTTGTTGCCTACTGTTCCCTCTTCTGTGGTTAAGAAACTAAGAGAACTTAGAACTGATAAGTAAGAGGTGTCTTAGAATCCCAACACTGATATCTAGAACTCTATAATTAAAAATAAATAAATAAAGAATTACCTCGGGGCCTCCCTGGTTGTGCAAGGGGTTAAGTCTTAGCACTATGAAGCTATCTGCAGCCACTGCAGCACAAATTCTAACCCCGGCCAGTGAGCTACCCACATGGTGCAGCAGACCTCTCCTGTCTGGCCCGTTGCTCCCCTCAGCACTGTATTTCAGTCGATCTGCCTATTCTGCTCCCCACTCTGTCTCTGGTGAATCCTCTCACCCCCTGCACCTCTGGCCTGTGTCTCAGTTCTTGTATGCATAAATAGATGAATCTTAAAAAAAAATGAATTACCTCAAGTCTTGATTTTCCAGTGATACCAAGGTTTTCAAATGTTGGCCCCAATCACTAATAATTCATTGCCTACTTGCTTTTTCAGGGATCCTATAAATTTTTATAAGGATATTTATTTGGGGGAAATACCTAACTTTGAGGCATTCACTTTTGTAAACCGCAAAAGTGCCTTACATACCTGTACATCTCAGGAGTATTTTAAGTTGGCCCATGCTATACTGTATACTGTATATGTGAGTGTGGTATCTAATGGAATGCTTCTTGTAAATCAGAAAGCTGAAAAATAGGACTCTAAATGAAAAACAGGAGCCTACTGATTGGGAAAATTTTTTTTTTACAGAACTACAATTTATTTTTAGGTTATACATTTTCACTCATTCCCTCACATGAACTCTCATTTTTTCTTTTCCCGATTTCATTTTTCTCATTTCTTCTTTTCATTTTTTCCTTTCCCTATTTCTCCAAAGCTGTGTGATGGATAAATTTGAAGAATGCGTGTTTTGGTTTATAGGAAAAACTTTGTGTTTTCTTCCTTTTCTTTTCACTTCCAGCCACGGTGATTATGAGCTACCTCATCCATTAATTTGAAAGGCTGCATATCATCAGCTCATGTTCAAGACATAGCACATCCTAGGTAAATTTACTAGGTAATAATCTGCTTGGGATGAATGTATTGAAACCATTCACAGAACAAAGAAGCCCTAATGGCTCTTCATAAAAACTGATTCCTCTAAGAAATGTGATACAGAGGATATTTTTCTGTTCTAGTACAAGGCTATCAAGAAATGTAAAATAATATAATTTTTTATTTTATTAACTGTAAGATTGCATATACACTAAGCTGTGAAAGTCTGAAATTGTAAAAATAATTTACAATTATTAAATTATTAAAGCAATCCTTATTCCATTTGGGTCTGTATTATTCTCCTCCACCCCCAAAATACAAGTGAAAAAATTATTGAAAGTGTTTTGAATGTGTGACCTGTTTGTAAAACATTTCATATTTGTCAGTAGGATTTTATTGTGTAATACTGATATATTTAAGTTTTGTGTATTTCCGAGAAAACAAAAGTATATATAAATATTAAAACTATTTTAATGAGTCATGGTGTTGTGAACATGATTTTTTAATTTCATAAGAATACCTGTTCAAGTAAATTTTCTGTATGTAAAACATGAACTTCAGATAGCATTCAATCTTTAAAAAAAAAAAGAATGTCTGTACTTAGATGTCATACAAAAATAGGTAGTTTATTTTTGGGGTAAAATCTAGAGCACCTCCCCATTTATAAAAATGGCTTTCCATCTGGTATTGATGGCAGTATCTGGCTCAGTGTCATCTGTGACCTCAGTGTCATCTTCATACCTCAGAGTATGTTCATATCCCAGAACAGTATTTCTGTTCCATAGCAAATTAATTATAACATATAAACACACAATCTTCTGGAATTTCATTAAAAAATTATAGTTCCTTCTGGGAAGTCATTTTTGGGATCTTATAGGAGATCATGTTTCTGGGCATGGGTTTCCCATAATGGTTAATGGGCAGATGATCTGAGTGCCTGCTCCAACTTTCCAGCAAGTGGTCTAACTAAGAGGACTAAGAGCTAACTAGCTACAGCAGCGACCATGAAAGCCAGGGACAATGCCATTTCTTATTTCCTATGACGTTGCTTTCGTTTGCTCCTACCTGTTTTCAGTGGGAGAATATTAGTGGTAAAATTTCAACTGCCTTTTAAAATTTTAATTGTACTTAAGATCAATCAGATTCCCCAAAGCCATTCCAAATCTAAAAAGACAAGCAAAATTACTATCTACCAAATTATTTGTGTGATAGCATATTAATCTTAATAACTCAAGTTTATAATTGAGCTTTTTGTTGTATAAGCCCTCTCTCCTATAGCATCAGTTTAATAATTCCATTTTTAACACTTGACACAAGTAATGATGAGTTTGTAAATTTTCATTTCTTTAAAAGGAATTAATATTTTGAATAAGTACCTTCTTAATGGTTTGAAAATTCAAATCACAAAAAGGTATACAGTGAAGCCTCCCTCTCCCAGCCTTTCGGTTTTTATCCCTGAGGCAACAAAAATTGTCAGTATCTTATAGCTTCTCAGAGATACTAGATATATAATAAAATACTGCCTCCATTTAATGTAAGTAGTAGCATGGTTTGTATACTGTATCATACATCTTACTGTTTTTACTTTGTAGTGTGTCTTGGAGAACTAGTGGTCAGGTTCTTTTAAAAAAATTTAGTTTCCATTCTATGAATTTACTATTGTTGAACCAGTCCCCTATTACTACTGATGATTATTTCAATTGTTTACATCTAGGGTTTTTGTTTTTGTAAACTCAAAGAACACTACAATGAATAACCTGGGTCTAAGTCACTTCACAGGTGATCAAGTATACCTATAGGACATATTTCAAGAATTTGTTGGCTCTGAGGATATGTTATTTTGCAACTCTGATAGATATTGTCAAGTTGTCCTTGATTGAGGTTGAACCAATTTACACTGTCACCAATAAATATTAGAGACCAATTTCCCATACTCTCACCATCATAGTAGTGTATAATCAAACTTTTTGATGTGTGCTATTCTAATAGATGAGAAGTATTTAAATTTGCATAAAAATGAGTGAAGCCCACCTTGAGTGGGCCTCCTTGGTGACGCAAGGGATTAATACATAGCACAGTGAAGCTATCCGCAGCCACTGCAGCATGAGTTCAATCCTCAGCCAGGGAGGTGACCCAAATGGCAAAGCACACCTCTCCTGACTTGCCTGGTGCTCCCCTCAGCAGTGTATTTCAGTCACTCTGCCTGATCTGTTCCCTACTCTGTCTCTGGTGAATCCTCTCACACACACATGTATACACACACCCCCAGTACCTCTGGCCTGCATCCCAGTTCTTATATGTATAAATAAATAAATCTTTTAAAAAAATGAGTGAAGTGGAACATTCATTATGTTTGAGACTTATATTTCCTTTTCTGTGTGCACTTTTCATACCCTTTTCCCTTTTTCTTATTCAGATTTAGTCTTAGAATTTGTAGGAACTCTTAGATATTAGGGAAATTAACTCTTTAGGAAATGAGTTGCATGTATTTTTTCCAGTTTGTCATTTGTCTTTCAGTTTGTGGTGGTTTTATTTGTTTTGTTTTTTTGGTCATCCATTACAAAAACAGAATTATCAATCTCTAGATTTATATCATAGTAAAAAAGTCTTTTGTATTCAAAGTTTAATTATTTTATAGTTTTATTTCTGATACTTAAATCTTTGACCCATTTGAAACTTATTCCTTTTGTAGAGTGTGGGATATGAAGCCAACATTTTTTTTTTCTAGATGGCCCATTTGTCTGGTTGGGAAACTTTATTGGTGTCATTCTTGGATTATCTTCCACATGCATGGGGATCACATTTCTGTTTGCCTAGCCCAGAGATCACAACTCTGATGCCTGTAGAGACTAGGCAGGTTACATAAAAGGGTGAAGAGTGCCAGGTGGAGAGTATAGCCAACTGGAAATGGGATGGCATATTTTAAAAAGAGGGCAGCCACTACCCACTGCCTACTTACTTCCTAGCAGGAATGCAGCAGGGACTATTGTTGCCAGGTCTTTGTCAAGAAACTGGAAATCCAGATTTTTATATGAAATCTTTTCATTTAAAAATGTTAACAATTAAAAAAATATAGCTTGGCTAAGCTAAAATGCTTCAGGCCAGATTTAGCCCAGAGAAAGCCTTCAGTATCCTCGGCCAAGAATGAAACTTCTAACAACTTTATTTTCCCATAAGGAAATAAAATCTCAGACTAGTAGTTTGGAGAAAAGACAATTTATATAAGTCAAGGTCTTTATCCTCAGTGATTGAAAGATTAATTGGAGAAATACTAGCAATCAGTAACTTGTATTCCAAGTACACGGGCCGTTTATTAAGAGATATTCTAGATTCAGTGAGTACTTGGGTTTTAAAAAATGACCTTTTTTTTGAAACAATTGAAGTATAACTGATTTCTTAAATTTTCCTACCCAGTTCTTCCGATTTTGTCCAAATGACAAAATGGTGTGTGTTTTGGGAGAGGATAATTGCTCAGATGCTGATACTCCAACTAAATATGGCACAGACTCATTTTTTTTTTGCACTTTTCTCCCTTTCCCTAACTCACCGCTGATGGCTGGAGACAATGTATTCTAATTCTGGTGTGCTCAGCATCTTCAGTGGGATGACGTTTATGCTAATGATGAAGTTTCCAGAGTCTTTGGTTCTTCAACCCAGAACAATTTAAAGTCTGGGGGTCCTTTTTCACTTGTTAATTAATATGGCTGGGCCCCAGGGGTTGAATGCAGGTTTTGTGGGACCTGGCGCCTACACATATTGGAGGACACCATTAAGCAACCAATTCAAAAGTATCTGTGGAAAGTTTTACAAAAACGATGTAGTTTTGTGTTAATACACGGGGGCGTGCACAAATAAGGATCTTTAAGTTTGAGTCATCCGCCTTTTCGGGCCCTACTGTGTGCTAAAGGCATTCCTTGCCTCACCTCCTCCGTCCCCCACGAGAGCACCCCGTGCAACAGCGACTGTCTCTGTAGAAAGGGAACAGCCACATACTTTAAACGCCCTGTCCAACCCGAGCGCGCCTCTCCACACCTCTAAACTGCTCCCCACGACTGCAGTCCCGGGACCCCAGTACTCTAGAAGAGGCATGGAGTCGGGGTTCTCTCGGGAGGGCCGCGAGCAGGGAGCGTCTGCGTAAACCGCAGGCAGTAAGTCGGGGCGTCTGTCTGGAGCAGGCCCCTGGCAAGTCCTCAGGAGACGAGGATTCCCGGCCCGCGCCTCCGCGCCTCGGTGCCCCCGCGCCCCGCCGGCGCCTCAGCCGGCTCCGCGGCGCGCATGCTCCGTGCGCGGCTCCCCGGCGACCCGGGATAATGAGCGCCGGGCCAAGGGGGCCGGCCGAGCCGCAGCAGCCAGGACCCGGGGCTCGGCGTCGGGCCCGGGGCGCTGCGCGCGGCTGCTGAAGGGGCGGCGGCGGCGGCCAGCACCCTGCGCTCCCGAGTGCGGCTCTCTGGCCGGACGCGCGCGCCCGGTCGGTCCCCGGGGCCCTCTGGAGGTGACTCGGGCGGGCCCGGCCGGGCGGCGGAGTCGGCGGGGAGGGCGGGGATGAGGCGATGAGGCGACGAGCAGCCGCCGTCGCGCTGCGCCAGCCGCGGCCGTAGCGGGAGTCGGGCCGGGGGCGAGATCCGTCGTCCCGACGTCGGGCCGCGAGCCCAGACAAAGGCGGAGGAGCCGCCCGAGGAGCGGGCCGGCGCCGCCGCGGAGGGAGGCCGTCGCCGGGGTCGCCGCCGGGGCCCGCCGGGGCTCTCGGGCCGCCGCGCTTCCTCTGCGGCCGCTGCGCTAGGCGAGGCCGCCCGGGCCGAGGAGGCCGCCCCCGGAGCCCCCGCCCGCTCGCCGGCGCCGCCTCCGAGCCGCCTCGGCCGTCCCCGCGGCCCGGGCGGGAGGCGGCGGCCGCCGGCGAGGCGAGGCGGCTGGCGCCCGGCCTGTCAGGCCACCGGCCCGGCCCGGTTCGGCCCGCGGGTCGCCCCCCCATGCGGAGGAGCTGCCGCCGGGGCCATGCAGCAGGCGCCGCAACCGTACGAGTTCTTCAGCGAGGAGAACAGCCCGAAATGGCGGGGACTGCTGGTCTCGGCCCTGCGGAAGGTCAGTGCCCGAGGGTGCCCGGGCGACCGCGGGGGCTGAGGGAGGTGCCGGGCCGGCTCGGGTTGCGGCGTCTGGGCCGGGCGGCCGGCGGGCGGGGTGCTCTGCCCCGCGGCCCCTCCGACCTTCTAACGGGGCGCTGCACATCCTCCAGGCGCGCGGGCCGGGGCCGAGCTGGGGCTCCGAGGCGGGGACGGGGCCGGGTGGGGTGGGGTGGGGTGGGGTGGGGTGGGGTGGGGGGCATGCATAATTGCCTGTTGCATCCACAAGGACATTTTCTCAGCTTTCCCCCTGGCCCCGGAAGGAAAGTTTTGTTGTGATTATAAAACTGGATTTCATGTTGCAGTCATTTCGTCAGGCGACTTCCGCCGTTGACCAATTTGTTGTCCTCAGGCT